TTCAATCACTGGCCACCTGGTTGAACTCAATCTTTATATAAAGTCCCTACCTGTCTGAAAAGGCTGAACTGGTTCAAAGCCTCTAATCACATTATGCATCTTTCTAGTGAGCAGCCCACTTCCTAAATCATGTCATTTCATTAACATAAGCTCAGGTATGATCCAAGGAGCTAATAAATAACAGAGACCTTCCTGTTGCTTCCAAAATTCCCACGATTTAATGTCTTCCTCCTAGGAACCTGGAATAAGGGCAAATTCTTCATTATTCAACAAACTGAAATGCACATTTAATATGGGAATTGGGTAGTCACAGGTGATTTTGGAAAGAATAGTCAGGAAAAAGTAGCCAGACTGCTATGTAGTATAAAATAAACTGAAGGTATGGAAGGCAAGAAGTGTGTAAGAAACTGATCACCAACAAGAGGATAAAATGACTAGGACGTGCTGGAATATAAAGCTGAGGAAAGAAAGACGTACAAGTAACTTAGCAAATGCCTTCTTCCACTAGGAGCAAATACTTAGGAGGTTGCTTTGCTAATGCAGTCTTATTTGAGTCATCCTATTGTTAGTGTTCTTAGAGTCAATGTAATATTTAACATGTTGGTCCTTCTTAAAATTATTCTCACTTACCTTTGATTCCTCCACATTCCAACTTATTTTATTGTTTCCAACATTTCCCTTATAACGAAGTCCTCATTGCCACTTCTTTATGTGAGTTAATTATGCCAAAAACGCAAGTACATCTGACTTAAAAAAGATTAAGGACGTCTATGGTAGACTAGGTGAGGGACGGGGGGGACCAGGGGGGACCGGGGGGGGGACGGGGGGACGGAGGGACGGAGGGACGGAGGGATGGAGGAGAGAATTTCACAAACAGCCTTTTAAGAGTATGTCTGGACTCAACCAAATCACCTAAGTAAAACAACTTGATAGCTAGAAATTGGATAAATAAGATGGCAGAGATGCTTTGGGTTAACAAGAGGCTTTAGCTTTAACAGATAACCAAGAATCAGGACTAAGACCTTGAGCCTGTGCCACGCCACTTCATTAGAACTGTAATTTCCACACGAAGACCCATAAAAGGGAAAGCCCTCATTTAAAAGGGAGTTGGGTAAAGGGGACGAGAGACACTCAACACAAGAGAAGAAAAACAGCAAGCAAAATTGTCTTGGCTTGGGATCTTTAAGGGTAGGGACAGTTTTCCCTGAGAAGTTGTAACAATCAGCTTGGCTTCGTTAGTTTAGAGTTTCATTTAACATTACTGCAGAATCTATAAAACTTCAAGCCAAGAATTAATGTAATGTTGTTCCAAATTGATAAAGCCCTTGCGACCCCTGGCAGAAGGAACACAAATCCATGCCTCAGAAACACACCCTCATCTCATGCTAGCAGAACTCCTCATGATAAAGTCTTGCCAAACATGGGCTTACAATACAAATTATAGAACAAAGGAGGAAACAAATTATGAGCAAAAGTACATAGAAATCAACAGTGAATTGAACTACCAAGAAGTGCTACTGGCTATAGGGTATAAAGTGTTATGTTCAGAGATTAAAAGGCAAAAGAAGATCAAAAACAGAAAGGGGATTAATCATACATGAAAAAGGACAAAATGGAATTCCAAATAATCAACAAATGTTTTAAAAGTCCTTAAACAAGACATTAGAAAGAGCTAAAAAAAAAAAAAATTATAAAAAGAGAGAACTAGGAAACAAGTTACCTAGGACACAGCATACAAAAACAGCAATATGAAAGAACTTAAGACATACAAGACTGGTTAAGAGTGTATCATACATACAGTATACCTAAGGGGAGGGGAAAAGAGTTGTCAGGACCAGAAATGGGGCAGAGTCAAAATTAAAACTAGACAATTTAGATTTTTCTAGAATAAAAATATGAATCAAAGTTTATAAAGGACAATAAATCTGAAGCAAGGGAAAAAAGTATCTAGACACATCATAGAGACTCACGTCTAGATAAAATAAATTATCTTAAAGGCATTCAGAAAAAAAGGCAAATTACTTTCCAAGGAATACAATTAGATTGGTTAGACTTCTCAAAAACAGTATGAAAGCTAGGAAGCAGCAACATAACCTAGTTTGTAAGTAGCGAGGAGAGGAGGAACTGCAGACTTAGAATTTTATACCCAGACAAACTATCATGATTTAGGTAAGACAGAAATAACCCTGATGAAATTTTGCTCCTGGACTTGTGGAAGCCATCTTGCCTCCCAACAGGGCCTGACAATGAAATACAGATGAAAAGAAAAACTGTGACACTTTTGAGCCCTACAACCTTAATGCCAGCCATAATCCCTGACATCTGAGTTCCCTGAAGCAATCTCTTTACCATTTAGTTTTTTTTAATTAAGAAAAATGGAACATATGTTAAAACAGAGTTATTGTTAACCTATATAACCTACCCCTTCCCAAAAAATAATCACAGGGTAACTTGTTCAGGAAATATGTCTGAAAGGGAACTTTATGTAGAATTTGAAAATACCTAAGAAGAAAAATAATCAGTTTAGGAGTCTGTAGAAAAGTATCTAAGATAACAAAAGTTGATAAGTTAAAAGGAGGCCTGGAAACCAGTCTGAACAGTGGGTAACTGCATTTATGTTTTTAAGACTGTAAGTCAGTACAGTGTGAAAGAATTGGCAGGACATAGTGCCTGGAGTTAACTGAGAATACTGGAACACTATCCTAATTTTAATTTAAGAAAATTTAAAACAAACCAAAGAGGTTACTGCCTGTCTGCAATTGACAACTATAGAGCAGACTCTTCCAGATTAGCTCAATCTAGCCTTGAGCTCTTACTACTTTCATAGTTGTATATAACCAATAGCAATGCAAAACAATTCATGCCTATAAACATGCAAACAAATTCACTCTCTTGGAATTTCAGTTGACTCCCCCATGAAAAAGCCAGTTTTCTGTTTTAATTCATTTCATCTTACCTGTTTACATTGCATAAATGTTTTTTTGGATTCTACTTTGAACCAGTTTTAACGTGTCTGGTTCTCTCATTAACAAAAATGAAAAAATTCTTAAATATGGATGTATATAAAACTCATGATTTTACCTTTTATGTTTTAACACCAACAAAACAAGGCAATGTTTCTAATAGAAACCATATTTCTGAGGTTTAGACAAGTTGTAAAATTTTGTTCTGAGCCAGCTTCTTCATCTAATCAGAAACTTACAGATTTCATTGAAATATAATTTGTTTCATTTAAAATGCATTGATTGAATCTTACAAATTTTATTCTGATTAAGAAACAATTTAATAGTAACTCCCTCAAATCTGCAAAAAATAACTGCTATGTATTTTAATAGGCTTTATTAACTCACCTTTCAGACAATGATGTCCTTAGCATATAAATTGGAGCAAGATAAAAGGCCTCTTTTGCCTTTTAAGACATACTACAAGAATCACTTTATGGACAGTCTCTCAGAAATGCTTTCTAGCTTATTACTCAACAAAAAATCCCAAATGTGTGCAATTATCATAGTAAGCTTGAGTGATAATTTTCCAACAGGTAACATAGGCAAAAAAAAAAAAAAATGTGTGTAATATAATATGCATTGGAATGAAAGTCCATCTACCAAATTTTATTGTCATCCCTAAGAACTTTCTCAAATGTGCCAAACTTACTCAAATTCTTAAGTTGTAAATCCTTTGTGTCTTTATGCCTTCTCACCCCCCTTGCAACTGATTACCTTGCCTCTACCACAATTGAGCTGTCTGGAGAAGAGGAAGGAGTCAAGGAGGAAGCAGTCAAGGAGGAGGCACAAGAGCCAGGGGAAAGTTTTGTGGTCATTAATGCTTCCTGGACCACAAGTTTCACTACTTTAAGTACCATTTATCCTTTTGTTCAAAGGCAAATGAAAATATTTCATTTGGTATATAAAAATCTTATACAGTTTTAAATTTAAAGTGAAATTCATGTTGCAGAAGGAAGAGATAAAGTTACAGAAAATTTTCTATGGCAATTCAAATACACATGGGTTATTGAAACGAAGTTATACAGTGTCTTTCCTAAACAGGTTTTAAAGAGGGGGAAAAAAAGCTTCCTGGGCACCCAGATGGCTAGGAAGGCTTGCCTCCTGTTGGTCTATAATCTTAACAGAAACTATTACTTAGATGTTATAATTCATCTTAAAATAATACCCTTTAAGCACTTAGTATTTTAATAGTTAACATCATTTCCAGTCCTAAAATAACCTTACAAGTATTCATTTCTTTATTTTCACAGGTAGGGAAATGAACTTAGAAATTAAATTAAAAACACGACATCACTAGTAATTATAAAGAAAGATCTGGGCCTAGGTCTGTTCAACTTCATAGACTATTTCTATTATACAATACCATTGCTTTGCAATAAATTTCACTAAGTCTCAAATTTAGACTGCAAACAAATTTAGTATCTATTACCATATTTATATCATTTTACTTGGTAATAGAAGGTAAAAAATAAACATGCTCCAAATATTACAATAGGTCTTTTGCTATTCTGTGTTCATTTTGGTGAAACAAATGGAAACAACAATTGTCATCTCAAGATGATTTACTTTAAGGGCTATCAAAATTTAATATAGTATATACTAAAAAACAAACCTCTTCTGAAACTTTAACACAAAATTGAGTACAATGAACCAGATTATATATATACCCTTTACTTCTGAGAGATTTCTCAGGCATTTTTAATATAACTGCATTTTAATTTTCATTAAAGTTTCATTCTTATCTATACTGTAATAGCATTACTACATTCTTCTCCAAATCTCTCTTAACCCATTATGGTAGATAACTATAGCAAAAGATATGTTCCAGAACAGTCTTAAACCATAAAGTTCCTAAAACAAATCACCATAACACCTTTAGGTCATCGTGCACATTTTAAGTAATCTGACATTTAAACAGAATTGTATCAAAATTCAGCAAATGAACCACACTACAGTGTTTGTCCCTTCTATCTAGTCTCAAGTAAAAAGACTTACCCCATGTTTCTTAGCAGCTGTGACAACTTTAAGGAGGGTATCTTCCTCAACAAATGGCCTCACAGCATCGTGGACAATCACTATTTCTGGCTTAGAGAGTTTACAGTTGAGCTGATCTTCCGCCAGTGCTTTTAGTCCATTGAAAATTGACCTGTGGCGGGTCACTCCAGCTTCGACCAGTGAGATGCGTTTATGCTGATACTTCTGAATAATACTTTTCATTACTTCCATGTTCTCTCCAGTTACTGCCACAACAATGTCCTTTATCCAATATACTCTAAAAGGAAAGTATGTGTATTTCATAAGTTAATTCTTAGACAACTAAAGTGAGTAACAAAATTGAATCACTAGTATTGGTATATATTTACATAAGGAGACTAAAAACTACAAGTTAATATGTCAGTCTTATGCATTTTTATTACATCTAGTTAAGAGATTAATGAAAAAGAATTGGTGAGCATTTAATACTAAAGCTCTAGTGTTTCACATTACACAGAGTATTTTACATGATGTAGTATATGTATAGTGTCTAGTATACAGTACTACAAGATACCATTTTTTACTTAAGCTAAATTGGAACTAGAGTATCAGATTGTATGAGAAAATAGCCTATATTAAGAATATGCTTTTAAACTTTTTTCCGAATACTTTTCCCTTCAATGAAATAATTCAAAGCACTTTTGAGATCCAAAAGTTGACTGTCACTTTCAAGAAGTCCACTAAGTTGGCAGCCAACCACTTGAATACCAACAAAGCTGGAAAACTTAGCTAACACAAGCCTTACTAAATATGTAACTTAAATGGGAGAAATCATAGCAATTAATATTGTATAAATAAGGTTTAAGTAAAATGGAAAAGCTTACAATTCATGAAATAGGATTATTCTACTGAATCATATACAAAGCAATGTTTTTGTTGCAAAACATTTTCAAGACAGAGTCACATTCTGTCCCTTAGGCTGGAATGCAGTGGCATGATCTCGGTTCACTACAACCTCTACCTCCTGGGTTCAAATAATTCTCATGCCTCAGCCTCCCAAGTAGCTGGAATTATAGGCATCTGCCACCATGCCCAGCTGTGGTTTTTATTTTTTTTTCCCCATAGAGATTGGGTTTCACCATATTGGCCAGGCTATCCTAGAACTCCTGACCTCAAGTTACCCGCCTGCCTCGGCCTCCCAAACTGTTGGGATTACAAGCATGAGCCAATCCACCCGGCCTATAAAACATTTTCTTAAAGAAGGACCTACTGACTACCAGACTGCAAGTAGTCCACATTACTGAGTTGCTGCTGCATTCAAGTCTGGCAGATTTGTGTTGAACACCAGTGCTAATGGAGACAAATGTCACTGTAGACTCAATATTCTACAGCCCAAAAGCCCAGACCAAGACAACTATCTCTGATCCATGATATAAACTCTGAATAAAGACTTAATTTTTAATTTTTAGCCTATGAGATTCTATACTTTCATGCTAGAACAGTTAAGTGTTTAGAATATTTTTAAAGATATGGAAGGGCCTGAAAATTACTGCATAAGGATTACCTTTACTGAAAAATGAAAGTTAACATTGGGTTGCTTTGTTATTCAGTAATGTCCCCTACCTCTTGTTATTGAACAGACCCTTACCACAGCCCAAAACACCATTCTGCCTGTAGCTAAAACAAGATTACGCTGATGAATAAAACCAAGAGCTACTTTACATGTGGCACTGTCTTCTCATTTTAAGCACATTTCTTTAATGAATGTTTACTGAGCACCAATACATTATCAGCATCAGCCAGGCATGGCTGCTCACGCCTGTGATCCCAGCACTCTGGGAGGCTGAGGCAGGTGGATCACTTGAGGTCAGGAGTTCGAGACCACCCTGGCCAACATGGTGAAAACCGTCTCTACCAAAAGTATAAAAAATTAGCTGGGTGTGGTGACACATGACTAATCCCAGCCACTCGGGAGGCTGAGGCAGGTGAATCGCTTGAACACAACAGGCAGAGGTTGAAAGGAGCCAAGATCGTGCCACTGTACTCTAGGCTGTGCAACATAGTAGGACTGAGACAAAAAAAAAAAAATAAAATAAAATAAAATAAAAAAAGCACTGAGGATACAATAGAAAAAAGCCCAGGCATGAAACAAAAACACCAATCAATAAATGCAAGCTGTCAAACAGAATGAACTCCAAGTTCAGGACAGCCTGTAGGCTGAGTAGCTGAAGAGTCTGAAGGAGGGTTTGAGAATGTTCTCTAATGAAAGGGAGTTTGCACTGAAATACAAGGGGTGGGTGGCAGGTAAGCAGGCAAAGGGGCTAGGAGTGAGAGAGAGAGGAGTGGTCCAAGTAGAGGCCATGGTAAGGTCCTCACGGGCTGAGAGGAAGCAGAGCTGGAGTTCCCCAAGCAAGGAAAAGGGCCCATGCAGAACCTGGAGACCCTATCCTAGGGGTTTTAACCTTTAATCCTAAAAAGAGGATAGGCACCCATAGAAAAGCTTTAAGCAGGTGAGTGCACTCATGCTTAAAGCCAATGCTCCCTCATTATGTTCTAATAGGAGTTTTTGGATAAACAGAATAATGAACCCAGAAAGATGTGCACTTCCTTACTCATGAAACCTGTGACTATGCTACCTTAAATGGCAAACAGGACTTTATGGAGGTGATTAATGATTTTGAAACAGGGAAATGGTCCTCAATTATCTAGGGGGATCCAATGTAATCACAGGAGTCCTTATAAAGGAAAGGAGGCCACAGGAGAGTCAATGGAGAAGATGTGATGACAGAAGCAGATGTCAGACTGATGCAGGGCCCCAAGCCAAAGAACACGAGTGGCCTCTAGAATTTTATTTTTTGAGACAGTCTCACTCTGTCACCCAGGCTGGAGTACAGCGGTGCATTCTTGGCTCATGCAACCTCACTCCCAGGTTCAAACAATTCTCCTGCCTCAGCCTCCCAAGTAGCTGAGATTGCAGGCACCTGCCACCACACTTGGCTAATTTTTTATTTTTAGTAGAGATGAGGTTTCACCGTACTGTCTAGGCTGGTCTCAAATTCCTGACCTCAGGTAATCCACCCACCTCAGCCTCCCAAAGTACTGTAATTATAGGAGTGAGACCCATACCTGGCTGGCCTCTAGGATTTAGAGGAAGGCAAGGAAATGGATACTCCCCAGATCTTCCAAAAGGAATGCAGTTTTGCCCACACCTTGACACAGCTCAGTGAAACTAAACTGAGACTACTGACCTCCAAAGTTGTAAGAGAATGTGGTTTTAAGCCGTTCAGTTTGTGGTAATTTTAATAGCAGCAATAGGAAACACAAGAGCATAAATTTTACTCTGACTGCAGGGAGGAAAAAGGATTCGGCAGAGAGAAAGGATACAGAGAGACCAAGTGGAGGCGGCTGCTATAATCTGGGCAATGCAATGATGGTGGCCTGGGTCCCATATGGAGCTTGTATTTGGGATTTTAGAGATAGTATATTCTAGAGGTAATCATCTACATAAGTAAGGAAGAAAAAGTAACGAAATAAGACAAGTATCACATAACAAAAGCCAATATAAATTAAGTACCATGTCTTAAGCATTTTTCATAGTTTAACTCTTGTAATCTTTACAATACCTCTACACAATCTCTCAAATAAGAAACAAAAACATTAGAATATATAATTACATTTTTCCTATACTACTATCTCACTCTAAAAGAATTGAAGCAGTAAGAAATGTTTACCATTTTTCAAGATAATGCATTTCATTTTATTTCCTCTTCTAGAATGTAGGCTCTATAATAGAAACAATGTCTGCTTCATCCATTGCCTTACACCTAATACCTAGTGGCTGCTCAGTATGTATTTGTTGAATAAATGACCCTGATCTGTCTCATCTACCAGGGCAGTGTAACATCTTACAACACAGCATAGTCTCAAGAATTATGAAAACAAAGGAGGCTCTCATTACCCTGACTAGCTACAAATATATAAATAAATCCAAGAATGAAAAAAGCATTCACTATGCAATGTGATTTTGTTGATTGTTTTGCTTCTAGGTATTTGACTCTCTGCTCTGATTTCTACATCCTAAGGCTCCTTGAGAGCCAGGATTGCTTTCATGTTCCACACACCTTGAGAGGATTTTAATCACAATCAAACAAAAGTAATACCATTCAGAACTCCAAAGAATCATCTGTGGTAATTAGTACAGGCAATGAAAGTGATTCCAGAATAAGACTGGACATGGGTTATTTCCTAGGCCTTTCATTGCAAATTTAGCAATTGCAGAACTTAAACTGCACTCGCAGTTTCAAATTAAAGTTCTCAGCAAGTGGTAAGTGACAGTTCTTCAATCCCTCTTACATGTGGGATTTCCCAAGGTTCTGGCTCCACTGCCACAGCTGTGACCCAGAGTCATCTCTAGCCTAGAGATGACTCTCAGCTGTTTCCTCTTACTCTTATCTCAATACAATCCATTCTCACCACTTCTCGATGATCTTTCTCAAGCACAAATCTGAGGTCATCCCTTGCGAGGCCCTTCAGGACCTGACCTCAGCCTACCTCATGCACATCATTTGGTCTCTTCCATTCCCTCTTACTCTCATACCAAACTGCTCCCTGAAGGGAAAGCATCTCTCACACTCAGTTATTTGCATATACTGCTTACCTGGCCTCTCAACACTGACGCCATCCCTCTCTCCCCACCGCACCTCCTCAGCTCTTGCCCGAGTTCTACTTACTTACTCATCAGTTTTCAGCTCACAGATGGCCTCCTCCAGCAGGAAGCTATCCCTCACTGTCATTCTGGGTACAACATCTCTGCTTCTCAGCTTGCAGAGTGCTTATACACACAGAGACTCTTTTGAACTATACTGCACTCTGTTTATAACCTTATCTTCCTCACTAGGCTGCCAACTCATAGAAAGCAAAAACTAGGCCCCAGAACTTGGTGCATACTCAACTTCCAGTAACATAGTAGAAATAACACTTAAGATATATGGAACATTTGTTAGGTCCCAGGCAATGTGTAGAATATTTTGTATTATCTCAATATCCATATCTGCTCTATAAAGCACATTTTCATTATCTCGGCTTTACACATGAGAACACAGGCAGTAACCTGCCCATTATCACACAGCTTAGAAACTAAGGGACCAAGCTGTGAGCTCAGTCTGACTTTGAAGCCTGCAACTTTAGCCTGTGTAAATGCACCAGCACTGTCTCTGAGAGGAAGGTGTAAAATCCAGGAGAGAAAAAATCATTTTGGATCATTGTATCTACAGCACTTCATTTATATTAAGGTTGAAA